TCGAATATGATCTTGAAGCTGTCCCAGGTTGTCCATGGTACTGGTGTCTGACTGAGCACTATAGGAGTAACCCACTGTAGGGCTGCTCCTTCAAGTAGTGTTAAGGTGTAGCGTATTTTGTCGTCATCGTGTTCTTAGTTCCATCCTACTGCATTGAAGTATGTGAGGAGTTGGACCATAAATCCTCATAGCTTGCTTCTTTCCCCGTCGTATCCTGGTGGTGTTTTGACTTTTGGCTTCTGATCTCTGCTTCGGTATTCCTCTCGTATCATCTGTTGCACTTCCTCTCGCATGAACAGGGCTGGTCCTGCTGGTGGTGGACCAGGTGGTGGTGCGGGTCCTGACATTCTTTCAGGTCTTGGTGTTTCTGGAGTTTCTTCTGGTAAGGGTGGAGTAATTGGTTCTGGAGTGACGGGACTTGTCGATCTTGCTGCGTTTTGACTTGCTTCGCTAAGCGCTTCTTCCAATCCTCCTAATCCTAGAGTGTCGTCTTGGACGTCTATGTCTCCCTCGTGATCTCTGTTGAAAGGATCCGTGGTGTATTCGTTAAGTGTCGCGTTGTAGACACGTTCTAATGTTAAGAATCATACCGGGTAGGACCTAGCGACAGGTAACGATACTTCTCTATAAGGTGATAGCTCTCAGACCTATGTCTACGCGATCCCGATAGTCCAGTCCTATGACTACTATCGTATTCGCGCCTATCTCCTTATTCTTCTTCTTCTTAGTCCTCACTCAGGACTTAGTCGTTCGACTTGGGAGGAGAAATAGTTTTCTCACTTGAGAGGAAAGCCAATTCTCGGGTTTTTTAAGATAAATCTTAAAGAGCGTAAAGGTAGGTTTTATTGATAATAACTCAAAGGTAGGAAATAAACAAGAAGAACGTGTGAAGAGCTTATATTCGGGGTCCTAGTGACCCTTTATATAGTTGCTCTTCACCTGGCGTGACTCACCCCTCGTATCACACGAACCCTGTGACCCATAACCATGAGTCATATGAAATCCATCAGACAACTCCTATGAGTCACTGCGCAACATGCCTAAACCAATCAAAAACATAATAACTAAGTCAGGTGCGCAACTCGCGTCACCTGAGTGAAACCCATGACTCATAAGTATGAGTCATGTGCGAAAATCGTAACATCATGTGACTCACAACTGTGAGTCATGAACAGGTAAACATAATAACCTATGGCGTACTAGTGTACGTCATGTGAAATCCCAACATACCTATAACTCGGAAATCTGAGCTATGTGAAATCTGCCTTGCTTAGTCACAGTTCGTGACAGATACAAAGTAGTCATTAATCGACTCTGTGGGCATTAGTGTCACCAGAAACAATACATGAAACAACTACAGAGTAGGCCTTAGAACTCCAACACAAAGAATGGAGGTACCCAATCCTCTCAGCAACAGGGTCATTCTCCCACAGCAACCACTCCAAACTATTCCAACAAATGCGAAATCCTACAAGTGAACGAGTACAGAAAAGCCGAAACATTTTACCCAAGACTCGGAGAAGACCCATCAGGCATAAAAGAAGGCCCCCCAGCCTACACAGCCTTACGATAGAGACTGTAACTGGAACTGGAGTTCAGTCCATTTGGTTCAGAGATTTGTTTTCAGTTTTGTTTTACTTGTAGTTTCGAGTATCCTTTGATACTCAGTTTGTTTTACTTGTGGTTTCGAATATCCTTTGATACTCAGTTTGTTTTATTTGTGGCTTCAAGTATTCTTTGATACTTAGTTTGTTTTACTTGTAGTTTTGAGTATCCTATGATACTCAGTTTGTTTTAATTGTGGTTTCGAGTATCCTTCAATACTCAGTTTGTTTTACTGGTGGTTTTGAGTAAGCAATATTTGGGAACTCGCTCATGCAGGACATGAATGGAATTTTGTACTTAAGACCATTGGTTCCCTCAAAGGAACAGCAGACTTCGACAGACAGAGTATTTCTAACATACTTGGTTGAACAGTTACCTCTTCAAGTCCCTATTTTTTATATCTTTCTCTCATAGCCTTCCTTAGCACAGTATGCCCATAGGTTGTAGATCAACTTGTGAGCTACTCCTATTATACTCGGAAGCGTGATTAGTACCCCAGTACAAACATGTTACAGAGACAAGCTAAGGGGAGGTAAGATGTATACCACAACCAAATGAATGCCAAACAGCAACTTGACCAATATCAACTTCAACCAGCAGGACTACTAGGCAAACCCAGATGACTCTCGCACAAGTGTTAGCAGAAAGACTTCATCGTTACCATATGGGAACATAGGAAACGGTGTCCAAAGGAGATTACCAGATTACATAAAGAAAGTAAAATATAAGAGGGCACACCCCCTTATATACAAAGAAAATCCTCCTTGATTACTAATACAAAAGAAAGTCCTTGGTGTTGCCTGCAGCTGCGATTCTTCTATCCAGTTCCCTCCATTTCTATTACATGACAACATACCCCAATCATGATACAAAGGAAACCCTACATAGCAACTAAGGAAACCACACCCAACATATGCAATCAAAAATCCAATATCCATTACTCCTCCATAGCTGGGTAGCCATGACAGTAAGGCGCTTATGGTAGATAGGCCAAATAAGAGGAAGAGGAAGAGCTATAACATATCGCCATGCCAGTGAATCTACTCCCTGTGTCTTACCTCTATTAATCTTTCTAATTTTGAACCTTTTTGACTACCAGGATTGTTTCATCTTAACTTTCAATTCTATTAGCTTTGCTTGAGCCCATACACCGGCACTTTAAGCAGTAGCTAGTTTTTGCTCTCTCAACTCTTTCCACTCCTCTGTTAACCTCTATTAGTCATTAAGTTTTTTCTCCTCCACTATAGTATTTGCATTAAAAATTGCAATTCTCTGAACTGCCTCCTTTTTCTCTTCCTCAGTTTCAGACTCCCAAACCCAGAATGGACCCTTTTAATCTTAGCTAATTATGCCCCAGCATATCACTGTATTTCCTTGTTTTTTTCTTGCTCCGACACGGTCCTCATGCCATTTTTCACCTGGTTCTCACCATACTATTGAGTGTCTAAAACATCTCCCAATCTCAATAGACATCTCATCTGTAAATGCATAATTTACCCATTCCCACTCTGGTAACCAGTAAACTCAGGAGAGGCAATAGTTCTTTCAAATTTAATTAGTTAAAACTCTTGTATCTCAGTATTAATGATCCACTTACTAGTCTTTTCTTCTTATTTTCTTCACTTGGAATAAACTTGAAAGGTTCATGGTATGCATGAACCTCCTGTAGTTTTAAAGCATCAAATATAGTACTATCACAAACATGAAAAAACCCAGCCTCCCGCCTAATATCTCTTAAGGACATTCTCCGGGTCTCAAAGCCTTGTTTAATAAAGGCTATGAGCTTCAAGTTGTCCTTTTCCAGTTTACTCAAAACCTTGGGGCAGCCAGAACATATTGCTGGATTTAAAACCTTAGAATCAATTAACTCAAGGAGAGAAAATTGCCAATCAGGATCAAGCATATTCATGCAATGTACAGTGGACTGTGGAGCTGCATCCTAAGTAGAACTGGTTGTTTTGAAGCAGAGTTTTTGTACATTTGATAAGGCGTGTCTCCAGATATCACTCACTGTTGATTTGGAGATACCAGCTACTTCTTCAATTTCCCTGAAAGTCATCAGATCCTTGAGGCAGCAATAGGCAATGCTGATAGTACATTATCTTAAAGTTATTTCTTTTCCTATAAATTTATCCAATTTAGCTTATTGTTATCCAGATTGTATTTTTTGAGCTGTCATATACCTCACTTGATAGTGGGGCATATACATACCATTCAGACCAATCCTCAAAGGCTGTTGGTTGTTGTACAGAGATGTTTATAGAACACGCATTGATTTTAACCAGTCAACTAGAACTCCTTAGCATCATATCAGAAATATCTTGGCACCAAGGTGTCCAGGTACTTTATGAATCGGCTAGTACAGCTGTGGAGGGGGGTCCTTAACGGTGGTTTGTGAGAGGTAGGTATCATATTATGAATCGATTCAAGTGGTCCAAAAGGCGTTCCAATATGAAGAGAAGAAAGAAGATGAAAAACATTACACACGGCAGTGCAGGGTTTAATAAGCTGAAATCTATCTCTGTGGAGAGAGAGCAGCCTTATTACGAAATTCTACACTCATGACAGCTCCTATCAATTATTACAAGAGGTAACTACCAGCAGTATATTGGTAGTTTCTATCACGGGTCTCCCTTACACATCCAGCGGAAAAAACCCTTTCACCATAATAAGAATAATAAAAGCTATCATGCTTCCCATCAAACATGTTCCCCCGCCCAATCGATTGAATGGGCGCGACCAATGCAACAGAATTTGAAGCCCACCAACTTTTATAGATTATGATATCATACCTTCCAGACCGCCTCGGAGCATAGCATCGTCGGAGGCTATGGCCTACTAGTAAAACATGAGCGGAGGATGATAATCGATTCCTCTCCCACCTTCCGACCTTTTGGAATCCAGCACCTGTGGCTAGTGTGCTATAGCTGCAGAATCGTGAAGAGAGAGAGAGAGCAATGGTCGGCTTAAACATTGGTCTTCGAGCCAGCGCATCTTCTGACCATCTTGTTTGGAAAATAGTCCGGCAGATGCTTTTGTGAAACTTCAACTGAACATTCTTGCGTGCCAAGTAGCCCGAGGTTCTTTCATAGTCCGTGGGGATTGGCGAGGTACTTGAGAGGATTTTGGGCTGTGTTGTGGATTTTTCAAATTTTTTTATAGGTTCGGAATGTATTGGGTGAAGGTGGGGGGCAGAATGCAGAGTTCGGGCTGCCTGCCCACGGTCTCTGGCGCCAGGCCAATTCACCGCGCCGACTTATGATGAGCTGCGAGGGCCCATCTTCCGCAGCCAAGTCCAACGCACTACTAGCCCAGATTACAAAATACCCTCCCCTAGAGGAGTATAACAGATGCAGACAGGGCGCAAGAAAAAGCGATGAACGAACAAAAGTTTTCTTGGATATGTATGATATTAGATTAACCCGACATAACATAAAGCTCCGCAGCCGTTATATATACATCCATGCATCCAATCAGCCCTACCAAATCATTTCCAATACAGTCCGAAATAGAGACACACTAGAAACTGACGATAGACAGAAAGGAGGAAACAAGGGGGGTCATGAGGAAAGGATGGAAGGAAAACGTAATAACAGCTGGATAAATACAAAACTTCTGCTCCCATTAAAGTTACCCCACTGGTTCCCATACTTAAGAATAAAATGAAATCGTAAGAAAGGAAATGAGAAGAAGCAAGGAAACTCGTGTCTACCTCGAAATTGAAACATAGCATACCAAAAACATGGACGAAAACAAAAAGCACAAAATGATAAAGCAAAAACATAAAAAAACATTGAAACAAAAAACTCCATAAAAATACACCTCCCAACCAACCACCAACCCATCCAGGTCCCAATCCCAATCCCAATCACAGCGTCCTCCGCCTGACCGCAACCGCTCCCGCCGGCCCCATTACTAATACTACCGCAAATCTCAATACCCCCTTCCAACCAAGTCCTTCTTCCACTTCTTTCTCCAAAACGTTCGCGCCAGGGTGGTACTCTCCATAGGCATTATCCATCCCGCTACTAGTAGATTGTTCACTAGCAGAGGTGCTCGGGACGAAGTACATAAAGTCCATATCTTCCCAGGGACTCGATGTTGGAGCCATAGGGGCGAGTTGGGGGGAGGCAGTTTTTGAAGAGAATATGCGTGAGGAGAGGGCCTTGGTGAGGGTGGTTATGTACGGGGCGAGGTATTGCAGGGCAAAGTAGCTCGCGATCAAGCTAGCGGCAAAGAGTAGGGATATGGTGAAGCGGCGGATGCGACGGGGGGTAAAGTACCCTCGCAGCTGTGCAGCAACAGCGTATAGTTTATCCAAGAAGTAATCCAAAAAGTCCTCACTAATCACCTCCTCCAATCCCTCGCCTCCTTCGCTCCCTTCCTCACCGCCCCTCAATCCCTCTTTTCGATGATACACTGCCACAACCGCAAACAGCACAAAGTATGGCACGAGCGCCCACGCAGGATTAAACCCCGCCATGGGACTCCCAACTTCCGGCTCGATAAAAAGCTGTGCGATCCCATTCAATGTCCATATCGCAAGTGTGAGCGGTAGTACAGTGAGCCACATTAAGATAACCGCGTTCGAGGCGAACTGTATTGGGCCAGCGACACGTCGGGCGATGCGGACCGGGGAGATTTTGGGGAGGGTTAGGAACGAAAGGCGGTGGATGACTTCCACAGTGATATTCTCTGGGAGCAGATTTGACGACTGCTTCTCGGGTTCTCGTGCTGCCGGCGCGTCAGGAGCATTGGCAGCGGGGGCTGGGGGAGCGGTGGCAGTGAAGGTCTGCTCAGGGAAGAAATCACTAGCGGAAACACGACCAGAAACAGGCTTGACCCCCGGACCGTCCTTCAAGTTTATCGCTGGGGCAAGAGCGCCCCGAGCTGGAAGGACTATTGAAGATGAGGGAGTTGTAATTGTAGACCCCCCAGCAAGACTTGGCGGCGGCGGGGACGGCGCTCGCGACGCAGGCTCTGAAACGTCCATGAAGGGAGATGCAGTTCCCGATCCACTAAAGACCTCCTCCGGCGTCGACGGTCGGGCAAATTCCTGAGAAATCAGTCTTGAGACCTCATGGGCTTTCGGTGGGAGACCCGTAGATGACAACGATGAAGCTTCGGGGGTTCCGGGGTGACTGTATGATAGTCGGGATACCGGCGGCGCAGGGGTGCTGGGCCCGCTGTGGAAGTGGGTTGTAAGGCGCGGGACTTCTGGGGAGCTGTAAGAGTGTGGTCGTACGGGTTCTGGGGTACTGGGAAGGGTATGGGAGTATGAATACGAGTGCGAACTGGACGGCCGGGGACTGGCCGATCGGCGGAGGTACGGGCAATCGTGTCCATCATCACCATGGCCGTGTCTACCCTCCGAGTCGGCAGTCTTGTTGTTAGGCTCCTCGGTCTTCGGGGCCTCAGCCTCAGACTTCTCTTCTTCAACTTTTCTTCCATCAATCTTCGTTTCCTCAGCTTCGATGACTGATGCTGCTTCGCTGGGAGGTGGAGTTATCGTCCCGACCGGTGCGACGTCTTTACTACTAGTACTTGTACTCGTGCCAGTAATTGAAATACTCTCCCTCGAATTCTCCCTCGAGTACAGCAGGCTCCTCCTCCTTGCCGGGGTCGTCGGAGGGGTGGGCGGGACTTGTGCCCCCCCAGGCCGTCTCGCGGGAGTGACTGGATAGTTGGTTATAAGCTTTGGTCGTTCCGGCGGTGAGCATATCTTACTTATCGGTGGCATCGGATCATTACTATCTGTAACATTCGCTTCGCTCAATACCTGCGATTGTCGCTGGGGAGCGGTATTCTTCAAGGGTGTAGTCTCAGGCGTAAGCAACCCATTCGCGAGTTGCTGGGCAAAGTAAGATGAGGATTTCAAGGGAGTCGTATCAGGCGTTAAAGTCGTTAGATTCGTAAGTTTTGCGGTCGTTGCTTCTATTATCTCCGCCCTCTCCCTTCGTTCTATTATTCCCTGCGGGCCCTCCTCTTCTACCGGAGTGAGTGGAGGCTCTTTAAGCTTCAGCGATGAAGATCTTGAAATCGTCGGCGTGGGGACAGGCGTTGTTCTACTACTGCTCCCGTGATGATGCCCCGCGCTTCCAATGATACAGTCTATGCAAGCGGGCTGGGCGGCCGTGAACTCAATCTTTTTGCTGCCGTCGGGCGTGTTCGGCCTCGATGGTGCTCGCGGTCTACCGAAATGATCTGTATCACTATCGACCTCTCCCGTGAACCCTGCGCTACTCGCCGAGGGTACGAGAGATGCCCCCTTCTCCGAAAGAGCCCTGCCAAAGTACTCCTCGTTCCGCGCTTCCTCCGGCGAAGTCTCGATGAGCGGGTACACCCGCTCAGTCTCGCCACCCGCCAACGACGCATCCTCCTCTTCTATACTCTCCAGAAGGGATAGTCTCGTGCCCAAGGAGCTGCTGTTGCTCGACCGGAACGACGAACCGCCTTCTTCGTCCTCATCTTCATACTCATCCTCCTCACCCTCCTCTTCGTCACCCTCGCTTCCATCACCTCCATCGCACGGTCGCATCAGGCTGGTGGAAATTGAAGCCGTAGGACCGAATATCGCAAGGAATGGCTTGCTAGGCGATAAAGGCAAGGTCGCTTGTGTAGAGGAATCCATCGCCGCAAATTGATGAAGAAAAGAAAAGAAAGAGAAAAGAAAGGATAAACCAAAATAAAATAAAATAGAAAATTCGTAAAAATAAAAAACCAAAAAGAGCTACAATGAAGAATTATAATAATAAAGAGAAGACGGATATAATGTTTCCAGAAACAAACGTTAATAAAAACAAAGAAAAGAAAAAATTTGGGCTTCTCGTTGATATATTCCTGTAGCGTTAGTAGTACCGGCAGCTTTAACAATCAAAAGAGGAGAAGGAAGAAGGAAGGAAGGAAGAAGGAAGAAAAAAACAAGGAGGGGGGGGGAATGGGGTAGGGAGGGGGTGGGCGGAAGCGAAATATGTATCTCTGGAACCTCGCTCTCTAAGGCCGACGCCACAAGAGCTGCAAGGCATCTGCAGCTCCCAACATTCGAGAGATGGATGGACTGGGAAGTCAGTAGTTGGCCTGCGCGGGGGGGGGAGGTGGTGAGGGAAAGCGTGCGAATAGTAATATCTCTCACCCAACACGGATATCCCGACGTGGCAATAGAGGTGGGTTGGAACATCAGGGTTAGGTGAGAGCAGCGACGTGGGGAGACGTCTTTGGTGGAGATTGTTCTGCTAAATGAGCTCGATGAGGAAACGGAAATGCAAGAGCGAAACGGACAGAAAAAAAAGTGATGTCTCAAGGACAAGTCTTCCAGCGCCTAAACGGAGCGATGCAGCGAGTATCTCCTACAAGCACTGCACGAATTGGTGCACTTCACCGTCCCAACCACCCAATTGACCGATCACCCATCACTCGCCCGTAGGGTCACCGGAGCACCAGAGCTCTCTCCCTCCTCACGAGACAAGAACGGGATCCCCCCCCCACCCCTGCCAACCTCCCCCATAAAATTTTCACCAACGCTCCAAATAAAGCCCATCCAGCGTTTAGAGCAGCTTCTCGCTTAGGGAGGGAAGAGCGCCGACTCCGGGCTTCTCCAAGCCCTACCGCTCACATAAACCAGACTAGCCCGCATCGGGCCAGCATCTGCGCTCTACCAATCAGTCGGGGCGGTATAAACCCAGCACGGCCAATCGTGTGATGCGTTGGACGGCGATGAACCCTTGACCTTGCGTGGGGGGGGAAAGGAAAGGATGGAGAGAACCACCGGTAGTTGAAACCTTTGCGAGGAAAATAGACGAAACAAACCATGAGAGGAGAGAGCAGCTTTAGCATAGTTACAAGTTACAAGTCACGGGCGCGTACTGTATCATATACGGGTGAGAGATAAGTCAGAGGAGGATTATGGATCTTCGAGTGATATTCTAGGAAAGGGCTTGATGGGGGGGGGTTGTTGAGAACTTGATTGTCGAAACCGGAGCGACAGCACAGCAATG